AATACTTGTCTTAGCTTGAGGAGACACTTTCTGGACTAGTTTTATACCTACTTTACTTGGCTATTTTTTTCTCCTTTCTCTAAAAATGATTCTACCTCTACTATAGTAAAAGACAACTCTGCAGTTGCCTTGAATGGATGTGGGGTAACACTGAAGTCAGTGACAAAATACACTCATGTGCTCTCACTGCAATTAAGAAGTCTCATACTGTAAAGTCCATCCTGTGTCCCTGCAGAGAGGATTTCCAGGGATGGCTGTTGCTGGAACAGCATCTCTGCAGGGAGTCAGCATGGCATTACACAGTAATTTCACAAGGAGTTCTGTGAAGTAGCAAGAAGACCAGCATGGACCTCAAAGGCATGAAAAAGCAAACACAAGGCATCCTAGAAAATGTCATGAGTATCCATACGGACAAGAAGAAACTAACACTTTTATGCCATTATTTCCCATTAAAAATGCCTGGATGTAACATTTGTTCTGCTGTTTGCCACAATTTTGGTCCTACCTCCCTTTTTTTCCCTTCAAAACTACTGTTCAAGCAAATAAGTGAGAAATAACAGCTAGACTGTGGGTGCAATTTTTTGCATGCATATGTGTGTGTTAGCTAAATATGGAAGAGAGATGTGGAAGTTGTTTTCTAAGCAGAATTATTTTTCTGTTGTCTATGAAAATAACACAATTAGTTTTTCTAGCTCCTGAGAAGACTGTGAATAATGTGCAGATACAGGAAACAGACAACGGTAGGCAAAAGCTACTTCCATCTCCCACTGCAGAGTGGACCAAGGTAAAATCCCATTACCAAACTATTTCAGAATTACTTTAAGGTGTAGAGTCCTGGTTGGCTATTTAGCTGGTGGAACTGAACTATCTCCAAGTCTTACAACAGCTGAGGCTTTAACCCAGAAACTTCAGGATTAGAAATACTTTACAAGTGACAAAAATCCTAAGGCTGAAGATTTTGCTGCATTGCCCTGATGTTTTACAGTCAAGACTGTCGCTGGAATGTATGAACACTGAAGACTTCAGTCTATGTTTGCAGGATTGCTCTAATTCCTTCCTAATGACTGTGTGTCTGAAACAGGTATTTTTACTGTATATACAAATTGCTAAAATACACTGGATACTGAATAAAAGCAGATTTCAAAGAAACAAAGCCCTACTACTTTAAGAGTCTCTCCAATTTGTTTTTAAATACTGTATTGTTTTAAAACAATATAGTCTTAGTGATTCAAATAGTCTCTGAAAACATTAAAGGCAGCCTCATGAGGGAAATTAGACAGGATTTTTATAGCAGAATTAATAAGCAAATCCTCATATCCTGTGGAGTTTTATGTGCTTGTAAAAGTAGAAAAAAAAAAATAAAAGGTAAACTCTGGAGTATATAGTGGAATTACTATAATCTGCTCCAGGATCTCATAGGACTGGAATTATTATAGTATATTGAAAGTAATTACCAATTCATTTCAGTTCAGGAAAGCTTTCTGACCAAACCCAAGTTTATCTCTCATGAAAAATGAACAGGAGTAAAGCACGTGCTAGAATTTAAGGATGTCTTTTAGTTCTTTCCTGAATCAGGGCTGTCCCTATATTTAAATAACTAAGGTACGATGCCTGTGTATCATTTCTCTTTGTATTCAAATCTATGTTAGGGATCCTACAAAGCCAAAGATAACTAGTTTTGAATGTAGGTAACATTTCACATGCATTTCTGTACAAGAACTCATGCAATATCGGCATTAAGACAGACTTAACCATATGTTACAGCTGAAATGCTCACTGACTTCTACTGCCCAGGCATTTCTACCTAGAAAATTGCTTTTTAAAACTTGGGATTTTGACCTCATACCCTGTTTTTTTTGTGGCTTCTACTGGTTTGAATGGCTATTTTTCCCACTGAACAATTGTTTTAATTATTTTAGGTCTTTTCAAGGTCCCCCTAATTCCCTGAAGAAATAGTTGGGCTCAGCCCCACCCCAGGATGATCCTCATGCAAACAAAACTCCACTCCCACAGGAGTACTTATAGGATCAGGTTTTAGATGTGTCACTAGGTGCAGCTCAGGAAGAAGGCTTCCATGACTGCTTAGCATGCTCCACCAAGAACAGCCTCTTCAAATAACCAAGCACTACTTGTGGCAGGAAGGAAAGGAACCACTTGTCAACAGTGACCTCAACAACCATCGATCCAAAGGTTCATTCACCCCCTGGAATCCTGCTTTATCTTAGACAAACTGAACTCACAGACACTGGATGTAAACATATCTTGGACTCCTTTCCTACCATCATCAGCTCTAGCAGTTCAGTCTGCTTATGGATATCAAAGATTTAAGCTTTCCTGGTGGATCTGTGGTGTGTCCCCTCTACTGAAGAGCAAGAGAACCTAGATGTGATTTCATAGCTGGTCTCTCGGTTTAGCAAAGACTCAGAGGAAAAGTGGCAGGACATGCTAACCCTGACTATGACAGGAATGGCCTGTGTCACTGAAGTGACAACATGTTTGACTGGAGTCCAGGTCCATGATCTCTAACAGGCAGGGCCATGACTACTAGTCAGGGTCCCTGGAAAGGCAGAGATTTGGCGAGGGACTCTGAGATTTCCACCAACAGAACAGAGGAGAGGGTAAAAGCATGTCAAATTATCTGTCCCACTAAAGCTTTTACTAAGACAAAAGCTCTGATAAATAATATTGTTGGCATAACCATGGCCTTTGACATCCTTATGCTTAAAAAGTCATATTTTCTCATGATCAGTGTCTACAGTAGCACCCACAGGATTAAACAGCCAAAAAATAGCACCCATAACCAAATCTGCACCCAGAATACTTCAGCATCTTCTGTTAGAGGATCTGAAAGCACTATACAAATGTTAACCAACACTTGGCCTCACAACCCCCAGTGAGGTAGAACATTATTGTCCCTGTAGGGACAGACAGATTGAGGCACAGGGTTACTAAGAGACCTGCTCCCGTTCAGACACTAAATTTAGCAATGCCAAGTGCTGAATGAAGGTGTCCTGACTACTGCACCCATGCTTGGTCCACACTACCATCCTTTCCCCCACAAACCTTCAACATGAGCCCTTAGCCTTTGAACTAAGACCAGGATTCTATACAAAATAGGTGAAATAATCATTTAGCAGTTGCTTAGTCAGAGAGTTATTCAAGTAAATTAAATTACTTGTGGGAACAAATGATTTCTTGTGCAAAACTCTGGGTGTAAATTATCATGCACTGAGACTGCTGGGTGCAAATTTGGTGCATTGATAACTCTGACCCCTTGATAATTCCCAGTCCTGGCCTCTCTCTTTTTTAAGTTGCATTATATGCACCATCACATGAACCTCTACAGATGCAGCCTGCACAGATTGTTTCGTTCCAGCAATGCAAGCAAACAAAATGTGGAGTGGCTTTGGGAACAACCCAGCATTCATGTACCATCAAACACCACAACGTTATAATTCATTCTAGTCACAAGGGGTTGCAAGGGAATAGGTGTACATGTTGAAACAAAGGCAAATAGAGCAACAAAGGAAGATTCGATTGCACAGATTTCATTTAGGTAAAGTTACGTCATAACCAGTTTCATCGAGAGCGTGTTCCATGAGAAAGGAAGGCAATGCCAGCTAGCCTGTGACAAAGCTTCGGCGTAATAAACACCACCAGCCCTGTGTGAATAGATGAACTTTGCATTCTGTAGGAGTCATTACTGATTAATAAAAGCAAAAGGTTTCTCTAAATACAGTAAGTTTGCTTTTGTCAGATAGAAGAGTTTCGTAAAATATGGGTTTTTGAACACCACAAAATTCCATTTGTTATATAAGTAGAGAATCTGGCCATAGGTAGGAATACTGAAGTGTAAAAAACCAAACATTACAAAAACTATCAAAACATTCAATATTTTGAACTGACCTTTTTTCCCCCCTTCATGTGTCTGTTTTGGCAGTGATGACAAGATTTCTGAACTGAGTTTTTGTTATTACTGTTCTGCGGTTGGTTTTTTTTTTGTACATTTTTCTGAATGTGTTTTTTAAACAAAAGAAAATTACCAGCTTTTATAAAAAAGAAGGAGCTTGAATCCTTACTCCCAAAACACAGATACAAGGTTTTCCTTTATAAAAAGTGTATTGATTTTTTTGCTATAAAAAGTGACCTATAGGGTGTCAAACCTGAAAACAAATTGTCACAGTGTTTTCAGTGTTGTCTGTTCACAAGGCATTGCTGTTACAAACTGAGATAGAGAGATACCATAGGGTAGGTATAAAAATGTGTTACCAGCTAGCAGTTTCTTCAGATCATATGTGAACAGTGTTCCACTCGAGATAACGCAGTTGACTTACTTTTTTTGCTTAATCATTAAAAAAAAAAAATCCCAATAACTTAATCACTATTGTACTAACCTTACTTAGCATCTTATGCAATCATTTCTAATCTCATCCAAGCTTCTGCTGGCATATTAAGCATCAAACTAGTCAGTCATTTCCCCTCCTGCCCTCCAACAATAAAACCAATACTAGTTAGTATGCAGGTGCTAAAATCAGGGCTGCAAATGAGGAGCAGTTAAGCTGGCAAACGTTGGCAGTTTGGACAGGTGGAGAACTATCGTTCACTCTACTTGAGCTTGCACGTTGGTCAGCAAGCAATCCATCTGCACACTTTCAGGGGAGCTACTTCACTATGACTAGGAAAATTACATAGTTGCAGCAGATGAAGAAATAAAAGAAGAAAATGGGAAATGCACAGGATCATTGGCATATTGGCCCCAAATTGCTTGCAATGTCCATTTTGCATCCCTATAACTTGGAAGAATGGTATCCCTCTATCTCTATAGACTGGTAGGTGTTGATTTGTGGCACGGAGGATAAATCACAGAAAAAAAATGACATATAACTGTGTGTCCTTTGTCTGATTTGAAAGCACCAGTCACCTATCTGCTTATTTTGGCAGAAGTACTCTACTGTATCTTAAACATAGCTTGCAATATGGACATTTAGCTTCATGTCACTTTACATGGAATCTCCAAGGGAATCAGAGTCATCCAAAGACAGAGGCAGATACAAGTCCTGTAGGAAGAAAGAAGAAAATGTTAACTCACACAATCAGTTTCCACCTTTGGTCACGTGTGAGGAAGCAGTCAAAAGGTCCAGCTCCACACAACTTGTAGGGACAGGATGGAAGACTCATGCACTGGTTACTGAACGGGCTGACCAGTTGTCCAGGTTGTTCAAGGCTAAAATCAAGGCAGGATGGAGTGGAGCAAGAGAATCTTGGTAACAGAAGAAAGATGACTGTTCAGTGATAAGTTTGAGGAGCATTTTTTTTTTTGCTTATGGATCAATGTGTCCATTATAGCACTTGTATGAAAGAGCAGGACCTTTCCTTAAACAGGTCTCTGAACTGAAATCGACAATACAGTCTTACTTTGATTTGACAGCTACGTTAGGACAAATCTCTAGGAAAATCACATGTTTCAAGATTTATTCTTTATTTTAAATAATTCCTGATGGAATTAAGAAAATAATCCCAAGTTTATTATTTGGATCAAAAGCTTTTCCAGGGTTGCTTTCTGGGGTAGCCATCTTATTTCACTTCCTTGAAGTTCTGCATGGAACTAGGTACACAAACCTGCTCAAGGGCTAAAGCTCTCCTTGGACCTTTTTGAACTCTGACCCACATACAGATAGTAACTGTGAGCAACATGAAGAAAAGCCCAAATATACAGAAAGGAAATTCACAACAATCTTGATATAAGAAGAGGTAAAATATGACTTTGTGGTGAACTCAACCTAAGCATTTCTCATTTGACCTTTAGGAGGAAAAAGAGAAAAGTGATTTCATCATAAGCAGGAAATTGCTCCTGGGAGGAAGACAATGACGCATGACTAACCTGGTAACCTAAAAGGCTACACTCACACTTGCTGATTGGCTTAAGGTAGTGGAGAAGCTCAGAGATGGATTGGCTTTGCCCTCAGCAGTCCCCATCTATTACAAATGTTTTAGAGGCTTCACTGGCAAGGTCGTAAAACAGCCAGCTAAAAACATACATAAAACATTAAAGAAGGCGAGTTTTACTTGTCTTTACCAGGAAGCAAATACTCCTCTCCAAAGTCCTAAATAAGATAGTGTTTGGAAAGTATTTTAGGTCCTTGAATGCTGAAGCAAAGCATGCAGTTTACAGAATTACTTTTGCTGAAATACACACAAGCAATTGTTCAATCCAGACTATGGGACAGATCCTGTTCTCAATTATAAATTAATAATAAACCTGGACCCACTGTGTTAAAATTGGTGCATTTCCTCAGACTTATACTGAGCAGCTGAAATCAGTGAAGTCCTGAGGAAAACTTAGATTTCATTTGGATTCAGCTGTTAAAGAAAGCCAAATAAAGCTGAGTAACTACAGCCTCTCCATATGTTGGGAATATTTCAAAGATCTGATTTTTGAGAAGCCAAAAGTCCACCCCAGGCTCCCCAGTACCATTCAGCCCCATGTCCAAAGGTCTGCAATCCAAAATCTTGCATGGTAGAGGTGTAATCCAAAGCCCACTGGACTTTTGACGATTCTTCCCATTGAATTCTCCAGCATCATAACAACTATAGTCCAGCTGCTGCTACCACCACTCCTCACTTTGAGAAAAAACATAATCCTCAAACAAAATGAGTTCAACGCCTGCAATCTAGACCACAGTGGATTACTGACTGCAAAACCTCACCACTATCAGAATTTTTTAATCACTCTTCCAGAATTTCAAGTCAATGCTTTCAAAGTCATACTCAGGCTGGGAGGCTCATTCTGATTCCTAAACAGAAATCCCATTGACCTCCTCTCACACTTACATTTAAGTACAAGTTCCAACTTCTGCATAAAGACTGTTGGAAGCAACACTGTGGCTATTCCAGAAATGAGAACGACATGGAAATGAAAATCTGGACGCAGCGCAGAATGGCACTGAATAACAGGAACATAAAAAGCTGTGACTGCTGCTATACCTTAGAAATAAATCAATACATGAATTATCTATGAGCCAGCACAGGTTTACTGATCTCTACTAGGATGCCGTGCTACCTGTTAGATACCCTACTTGTTACCAGGAAAAACAGCTACTGTACCAGAACACAATTACAACACCAGCTGTAAAAGATCTCTTCCTGTGAAACAGAGCATGGCCTTAAATAATATTAAAAAAAACCCCAAACCTTGAGAAGCATCATTAAAGTGATGTCTTAAAGCTTCAGTAACATTTGCTTTTCTTCTGCTGTTTCATGGACCAGATTTGCCAACACTTACGGCTTTTCAGGAGAGGAGGATTTATATGGAGATCACATCCATCAATAACTTGTGAACTTTTTAAAATAGTGATACAAGCTCAGGGTTAAGTTATCTCTTCTGATCCATATAGGTGATCTCCAGCACACATTAATAACTCCAGTGGAAGAAACAGGCCAGTGATTTACTGTTCACCATCTTGCTAGAGCCCAAAGTGACAACCCTTTTAGGTAATAGGCAATTCTCCACTGTTTCAATATAAGGAGTTGTGCTGCCAGAGAATATGGCCATGACTTAAATGTCACACAAATCTGAGTAGACTAAGAAAGAAACAGATGTAGTAAGGTATAAGAAACGTAATACCTTGTGCTTACGGAGGCTCCCTGGGCTGGTAGGTGTGGAAATCGGGGACTGCTTTGATTTGGGTGTAGAGAGCTGACTGCTTGAGGTTCCATTTGCTGTCAGAAAACAAGACAGAAGCTAGCAATCAGGCAAGCAAGAGGAAGATCTTTCTCCTCTGGGGAGACGAAAGGTATCCAAACATTTAAACAGTAAGGCTAGAGTTTGTTAATGTTAGGCAGGAGAAAAAAAACAAGTGAACAGCATGACTATTCACCCAATTTAAGGCTTTCAGTTGCCAAGGATAATGAATTGTAAAATACAGCAAAATACAAAATATATTGAAGGAGCAATATTTTACACTACAAATATGCACCAAATTGATCCAAGATATATACATCACCAGAAAAAGAGAAAGACAATTTCTATGTTCTAAAACAGTTTAACACAATTGAAACACATGGCATTTAAGGGCATGAGTGGAAACCAGAACCTGCAGATATCCTGGATCCTACATAAGAAATATTAGATGTCAAATACAGACATTACAAACTGACAAACAGCTGCCTGGAATGCTCTGGATGTAGTTAGCTGTGGCTGGGATTAAATGACCAAAAAGAACCCTTCTGAAGCCCTGGTGTAAGCACAGGTTGGCATGTTCCTGTTCATCTCTCTGGGGAGTGGCCAGAGCTGGCTCTGCCGTTCTTCCACTGCCTGCACCAGAGAAGTGAACATAGTCCATCGGGGGGGGGGAACAGGAGAATCACATGGAACAACGATCCTCCTACAAAGATAAAAATCTGGTCTTTTGGGTTGCTTTGTTTGTTCATGTTGCTTTGAAGAAAACACAGTTATTCTCCGTTTTTAAAAAATATGATTCATTTAAACCAAATGGCTTTTGGAAGGGTTGTTTGCAGAGGCCTTCACAGACCTGGCTTTCAGTTAAAGAGAAGGGCCCCAGGCCTATGCCAGGGCAAGCTATTATGCATATACTGGAATAAAAAGGAATCAAAGTAAATATCATATGACGCAGAAAAATGAAGGGAAACAAAATGGAGTAAGGATAATTATTTTTTTCCTACCACTGATGTTCTTTGAAGCAGTAAGCTAATGTTTTTGATAACTGCCAGGTGTCACAATATGTATTTCATAAGGATGTACTTATGCATAGTGAACTCAGTCATTCATAGGTTGTCAACTCTAGGGATACAGACCCTCTTGTTACCAGGGGTTGTAAACACATAGTTCCATCAGCACAGGCAGCATTACTTGAGGGAAGGAAATTCAAACTCATGCTGGCTGTGTCCAAGTATATTATATTTTCTGGCCTTTTCTTTTTGCAATCCAAGCAGCAGCAAGCTGGAGGCCCTACGAGCATTAAACTACATATCCCAATCAAGTCTACAGAAAGTGACATTTCCAAAAAACTACTCCAGATGTGAACATATTCAGCACAAACCACAAAACTAAACCCCAAGCATTCTGACTGTCACTTCCTTAAATGGCAATAGTGTTGCCAGCCCTCCAGATAACTGCAGATCCCTACCCCTTTTAAAGAAAGCATTTTTATTTCTGTTAATGTTTCACCCAGGGAGAGAAAGACAAGCATATAATAATGATCCAGGCTTGTTGTCCTGTTCTCTAAGTGCCCAATATGTCTCTATACCATTGCTCTAACTCTAAAGGCATACACATAGGAGGATGGATGATTTCTTATGTTTTCAATTGTAACAGCTGAATATGCAAATCAGTTACTTAGAATTAAGCAAGTAGTTGAGTGTCTGGAGGAGACCTAAGAAGTGTATGAAGTATCATACAGTAAGAAGAAGGTGTATAAGCGTTGTATTTTTAAGAGCAAAACCAACATAACTCTTGCTAAGACAGCCTCACTGCCCTTTTCTGTTACCTTCTTGTGAGAAAGAGGGGGGCAGTTAAGGTTTGTAGTATCACTGGCCCAAATGCAGAGGTCACACATGTGAATTACAAGTAAGTATAAAGAAACATGTGCTCTAAGCCGCAGGAGCTGCCAGCATCTTAAAGCAGCTCAGACCTAACAGATTCATGGTGATGTGGGCTCTCTGTCCTCATATCCATAATTTCTGTGCAGGAGGCTATTCATCACTGGTAGTTTTTTTCCCATTACAAATGCACCTCACTGAGGAAAGAGATATTTCTTAAAAGGTGGTAGAAATAATGTTTTATAAATAACTAAGGAACAATTATTTATAAAATAATTCACATCCTCATTCCACTCAGACCATTTGTTATTGGTGGGGAGAAAAAACTAGTTATGGAAACCCAGAACTGTTGAGGATTGGTTAGCTGACAAGGGTCACATAGACATACTGTAGATGGCTGACCAGGATTTTGGGAAACGTCAGACTCTGCTAGTCTGAAGTGCTAAGGTGGTAAGGACACGCTGTCCTTGACTGCAGCTGCTATACGATAACAGCATGCTTACAGTCAGCTAAGGCATGGGAACTTAAGGGAGTAAGTAACCAAGAATCAGGAGCTAGGGGAGGGGTTGACGTTTAGGATAGTGACCAATTAATTAGTTAAATTACAGAATATGCATGCTCTCATTAAGAACTGTATATAAGTTGTAGTCGAAAGCATAATAAACGGAGACTTGATGATCGTTCATATTGAGTGCCAAGTTCTTCCCACTGCGACACAGAACCTGTTACACTCTGGTCCCTGCACTGCAACGTGCCACTTTTCACTTTGCTCCAGTTCTACAAAGTGAGTTGCCCTCCAGGTAGGTGAGAAAAAAAGTAGATGTCACTAACTATATGCCATATAATTAAGGCAATTCAGAAAAGTACTTGGATCTTGTTTATAGGTTTTTTTTTCACCAAGTGACTTTGAGTTTTCTATTAAAGAAAATGTGAGGTACAATAGTACTTATATAATCTGTATTAGCTAGAATCCATCTCTTATTTCTAAAATGCCTCTTTCTTTATTTATTTACAATTGTCACTGATCCTGAGGCAGGAAGTAATCCTTCCTAAGATGAAGAATGCCACTTAACAACTTCACAAAGAACCCAAATTTCCCTTCCACAAACGGGAAGACTGGAAGAATGGCTAACAGTCCATGTGCAGCAAATAGATGTAATTGCTGCAGGGAAAGACATAAATTCCCTAATACAATGAGACTTTTAAGTGCTGCAGCAGGGATGTTAATATTTTATGAACACCGATGAAAAAACAGATGCGACATCCACATCAGAAATCAAATGAGACGGATGGATATCATTACAAATACTCACAAAGAGTTTTGCAGCAGAAGCAACAATTAAGAAGCCCAGTTTAATTTTCTTTGTGTCTGATAATGAAGAATAGTGTTCATAATCAAACTTGCACGCGTTTCTTTTGAACTCAAATGCAAGAAAATAACAACAGCCAAAGAGCAGATCCCAGGTGGTGTATAACGCTGCTGCTCCGCTAAAATCTGCTGATGACTTATGGCAGCTCAGGACCTCACATACGCTCGGCTATTGGAAACCATTCTTTAAAACCAGCTTTCATTTTAATTCATTTGGGTTATTTTCCACCGCGTTATTGTTTGTGTATTATGTCTTATTTATGTCTTTGTATTTGCTTTGCAACCTCAATTTAACCTTAAAGCCCCTTTGTGCATATGACACATCCTTTAATTGCATGAACATGCGCACTACCTTGTTTCATAGGATCCGTACCTCCTTCAGTGCACAAGACAATTTGTACCCGGGAGATAAATCAGGTTTGTCCAGAAAATTAAAGGGAGGATGGAGAATATAGCACAATTTCATGTTTCAGATGAATATAAGAGATCCAGGTAAACTGAATTCTCTGCCTACTTCTCCCACAGATATTTTAGCCAAACTTCTCAGATGCAATTGTTCCTGGAGTGTTGCTCAGGTTTGCTTGGGTGACTGTGACTCTGGATCTCGATTTCCAGCAATGGTAAGCACCGAGACCTGTAAATGAGGTCAGTGAGGTCCATCTTTTGAACTCACATTTTTATCAGTGAACAAAACCGGAAGAAGCAGGGCCCAAGGATCACAGTGAGTGCTCAAAATGTGTGGAGATACCTCTTTTTCTATCAGTTTATAAAATAAGGTTAATAATCCTTGCTCCATCAGGTTCCCAGGGTTCTGCAGATGAGTTCCTAGTTTGAGGAGCACATACCTGTACATCACAAGAGTGAGACAAAGAACCATGAAATATGTGGATAGTTTTGTCTCCAGGTCAGGGTTTTAGTGTCACCAAGAAAATAAAGAGAGGCAACAACCAGAACAAGGACAGCATAAAGCAAATGTAGAAATAGCAGCTCATGTAGTGAGCACAAGCCATCCTGCCCTCCAGGACAGAGGGAAAAATAAAGACTCCATTGTAGTGTTTATTCAGGAGAGGATTATTCCTCTCCTGAATTCAGATTGCACAGGCATCCTTTGCTCAGGCACCTCCTAACTTCCAAGCACCCAGCTCTGCAGTGCTGGCACCCTTTTCTCATCACGTTTTGTGAGGGATGCGTACCATGGATTGTCAGCTAGCAGAACGTAAGTAAGGGCAACTAGGATAACAAGCTGCTCTATCTTGTGTGCAATCCAAAAGACATCTGCTGCCTTTTTAACACATTCATATATAATGACCCTGGGGAGCCAGATCTGCAGGCAGGACAGACTGACATTCTGTATCTGTTTTGCTAACTGCTGCTGCCTTGTGAATATGCTTTTGTCCCTCTATCCAAACCCTTCCATCAGAGGACTGGGAAACTGAAGTCCTGCAGCAGTGCCTCAGAGCCCTGTTCACAGGCTCCCTGAGCCAAATGAAGGCAAAGCTGAGGAAAGACATTCTCAAATTTCAGCTCAAGTACCTGTGGCTCCGTACTGCAAAGGACTAAGATCATGTTGCTTTTAAAAATCATAAACTCTCCTATCACGGCACATGTATTTATACAACTGAACCCTTGTCTGTTATGTGAGTTATAATAGAATCATTATCATTAAGGTTGGAAAAGATCTCCAAGATCAAGTCCAACCATCAACTGTAAGATAAATTCATATTTTTATAACAAAGAAGTAATGGCAAATGACATAATTATTTTCTCCCTTGTATTTCTCCCCTGAGATTTA